GTTTACCTATGTTCTTCGGGACATATGGACTGTTTACCTATGTTCTTCGGGACATATGGACTGTTTACCTAGGTTCTTCGGAATCTATGGACTGGTCCTTCGGACATTGATCGAGCTGTTGTGACAGCATAGTGGTGCAAACCTCAATGTACTCACATACCTTGAGTTCTCAAAAGTATACATGGGCTAATACATGGTCTTTACAGAGAGTAAATAAATAAATTGATTTGCTACTATGTATGTTTTATTGTGAAGTATATGTGTTACATGGTATGTAAAGGAATGTTCGATATATGTATTTATACGATAAAAAGGTATGAAAAGTACTTATATTATCTCAGGTTATCAAGTATACTGAATTATATGAGACTCGATTGAATTCATAGATGGAATGTTTATATTTATGAAAAATGCATTCTTGTTATTCTGTTTTTTTTTGCTTCACTAAGTCTATGACTTAGCGTGTAAGTGATTTACACGTAGGTACGAGAAGCGAAGGATCAAAGCTAAGTTCAAAGTAACAACATATCTCTGCCCAAAGACCAGATCAGAAGTAAATTACACAGTATGTATTATTATGTAAATAGGTTGGCATGTAATTAAAGTAGGTAATTAGGTATTATATGCTCTGATCGAGTTTGTAATCTTTTAAACATATATATATAAGTACAAATGCAAAGAAATGAACTGTTAAATTTTTACGAGTGTTATGTACAATTTACGAAAAATCACTATAGCAGGTTACTGTATTACTGTTCATATCGTATTTCACCGTTCATAAAAACGTTTTTATCTCAAATTTTTATACAACACACAATTGAATAATATTTGACTGTATTTTCTTAATATAAATTCAAATGTTCAGTACTTTTACAAGAGTAAAGGTTTTGAAAAATGTCAATGTGACATCTCGGACCCGTATTCAAGTCGGGTACGGGTTGGGGTGTTACAATTAAGCTGAAAAGAGTGGATTTTCGGGTATAAATTAGAATTCTGGGCTATGTGCATCGATGCACATTCAATGTGTACCGATGCATCAAGGGTAAATTTTCAGAAATTGTTCAGTGTGTATCAATGCACAGGAAGTGCATCGATGCACCCCTTAAAAATGGAAACATCGAATGCAATTAGTGCATCGATGCATAAGGAGTGCATCGATGCACATGTTAAGGGATGCATCGATACACAGTAGAATGCATCGATGCACTTCAAGGGAAAATTGAAATATACATTTCTTTTGTTCTAAGAAATGATAGATTAGAGTATATTAATGGGATACTGATATGTATCAATGTATGATTATGTAGATATCGAACATGAACCTGTTCCGGAACGATTATCAAGTTAAGATTCGATCGAAAGAGAGGAAATCATAAAGTGGATGGGAACTTAGTGAGGCCAAGGTGAGTGCATCTTATTACATAGGATTATATGGAAAGTGACTTGCGATAAGTCTATTTCCGATAGTATAGTACATGATTATGTAATTAATATGAAATGTATGTATGTTTGATTATATGAATTGATATGTTTTTGTATGTGCCATATGGTTTATGTAAAAACACTATTAAGTGTTGATGAAAGAATATAAAATAAGTTATGAAATTATAGGAATATAGAAGATAAGTCAAGTGATATATGGAAATGGAAATAGATGTATACGAAGTATAGGAGAACAATATAGTCATATGATAATGAAATATAAGACTATGTGAATACATGGTTCTGAGATAAAATATGTAATAATAGGAAAATATGATGAAAGTGCGTTCGTGAGAAGTGATAAGAACTAGGTAAACATGTGTAACAGTATATGCTTAATGGAAACATGAGTTGGACAAGTACATAATGGTATGATCCATTATGAGAATTAATATAATAGCGCTTTTTTGATTTAATGAGAGTTAAGTGAACTAAATAAGATTAAATTATAGAATGAAATGGGAATAGTATATCAATTAAGAAACTTGAATATAAAAAGGATGATATGAATATATAAGACAAGTTATATGCTAAAGTTATAGAGTTATATGAAAAGGTTATAAGGAATATATGAAATTGAATTAAGTAAATATATTAAACTAATATATAAATAAAATACTATTAAACGATATATGTTAGAAATACGACATAGTTTATGTAATCTAAGGGAATACAAAGAAATGAAGCATAAGGTAGATGATATGATATAAGTTATTATATACATATATATATGTTTCAAGTATATGAAAGGACTCTAAAATTTATATAAGCTACGTGGAAGTGTTCTATGTGTTTCTATGTACTATATGAAGTATATATGATTATATGTGAAAAAGATATGATATTTAGGTTTACATGAACATCTAAGAAATTATCTATGTGATTATATGCCATGGATCTATGTGACTACGGGAGAAATAATAGAAGTTATGTGATATGCTATGAGAAATAATCCATGCGAATACATGAGCTTATGTGAATTGGTAATATGAATATTTATGTGAATATAAGTAATATGAGCTACGTGCTTATGAGATATGAATATAGAACATGAGCTATGAGAAAATAAGTTAAGTAATTACATGTGCAAATGGAAATGTTATGTGAAAAGCTATGTGGCTATGTGAAGATGTGTAATGGTATAAAAAATAATGCCCATGTATGTGATATGAGAGCTAGGGGTATAGTTGGCATGCCAAGAGTCGAGGGATTATCAGTGGTCCTTCGGGATAAACAGTGGTCCTTCGGGACATAGTGGTCCTTCAGAACAAATATTCAGTGCCCCTTGAGGGAATTATACGAGCTGTGGTGACAACATAGTGCACAACCTCTATGTACTCGCATATCTTTAGTTCTCACATGTGTATCATGGGCTAAATAAAAGATAATATTAATAAACTTGATATAATGATATGGTTGTTTCCTAGTGAAATGTTATGTGTGATATATGATTGTACAAATGGTAATTACAGAATCATATGATAAAGGAATCAATGATAGTGATCGCATGAAGATGATGATATAGTTGCTTTTGTGTATGTGTTTTATGATAGGACATATGAGTACATGTTACAGTATATGTGAATGATTATAATTGATTTACATGATGATATAGTAACAAGTTTACAAGATAAATGATATGAATATAAGAGATCATAGGAGCTTGAGATAAGAGATATGAATAATTATGACATATATGTTTGTATGTATTTGTTACCTGTCAGAATGTATGAATTGTATGAATGATAATAGTAATTGTTCATGTATGATTATTTGTTAAAGTTTGCATATAAGTTTATTGCCTCACTAAGTCATAGACTTAACGTGTGATTGTTTCACACGTAGGTTACAGAAGCGAGAAGAAAAGCAAAGAAGAGAAAAACAGGTCAGCATCTCCCTTACAAAGATTTCAGATCAGAAAATAGATAATTTAAATGTGTTTGGTTATGTTGAATATAGTTGGCATGTACTAATTGATTGAGTTGAATATGCTCTGATCGATTTTGGTTATTTTGGTCGATTTATGTAAATAAACCGCTTTTGATTTAATGAAAGTTTTAAATTTTCTTTAAATTTTGTCAAGATTCAAAGTTTGAAAAGTCAATATGACACCTCAAACTTGGATCTGGGTCGGGTACGGGTTGGGGTGTTACAGTGAATGTCATATCACATTACTAATTTTTGATTTCATGCTTGAGTGATCAAAATAAGAGTAAATTAAAATTTCTGTGTATTTTTAATTTTAGCTACTAAAAATAACGAAAATGGAGTTGAACGGTGAAATTTATAATTTATCAAAATTTAAAAAAAAAACTCAGAAAACGATACGTTTATACATGACATTTGGGGTGTGGGGACCAAGGTGAATAACGTAGCGAGACGAAACATACCAAAACGCAAGAGCGGGTCGGCGTGTAATGAAGGTCGAATCATGTGAATGGACTATACGGGCGGCTGCAATTCAATAACTGTTGACAAATTTTAGCTGTTCCAATAATATAAAAATGGTAACCATCTTGATTTCACTTCAGAAATATCTTAGGTTCGAGTCATTATATATTTAAAAATTTTCTATTGGGAGACTCACTAAAATCAAATGTACGACGCGGGTTAATCTAGATTAATCAGCACGAAACCTTGAAACCGGAAGTATAGCCGAAAAAAATGGTTATAGGTAAATACATCATAATGACGTGTTTTCCAAAACCTTGTACAAAGAGTCTTTTTATTTAATTTTTCAAATTGATGTTTTCGTCCGTATACGCTTATATGTAAATACATCATAATGACGTGTTGCTACGTATGTATTAGCATGTGATTAGTATACTTTTGATCATTAATTACTTTGTTGAAACTTGTAATTTAATTTTTCGCTCCACGCTATGATATACAATGATTCAATTAAGACTTATTTAAATATTTAAATAATTTAATTACTTTGTTGAAAGTTATTATTTAACCTCTTTCTTAGTTTAGGAGATGATCAAATGAAGTATTTACTATATGTGGACTTTATAATAAATAAAATATATATTTTTGAAAAATATTATTGTTTAATTGAAGAGATGACTATAAACAAAAAAAAAAGACACAAAGATTTATGTTACTGTACCCAATACACTTATCGGGTGATCACTGATTATAAAACGTAGAATAAGAGAATACAAAAATATTTATTATTTTTATAAAAAATAAAAGATTTGTTAAATTGAAAAGATCTTGATATGATTGACGTGCATGTTTTTGGAACCTACCTATATTGAACAAAAAGGGTATGATTCAATTGAACATTTATTGTGGGGCATAGGTAATACGAGAAGTTCAAAGTCAGAAGTGAATAATTTTATTACAACCCTTATCCCTTTATGGTAAGGAGGGTTCACAAAACACAAACTCTAATGACTCGTTGTTCGACATTGCAAATGGTCAATATCTTCCTAACCATGCAAACATATACAAGGTCAAACTTTTAGTCTCGAAACATCTTTTAGCATTTCCCGCTTACAATAATACGAATGTGATGAATATGAAAAGGAAAACAAATATGGAAATTTCGTCACCAAAACTTTATTAGGTACCCTGTTACGGGTATACCATTCGTATTGATTACGTCTCATCCCCCAGGTGTCGAGAATGCACATCCTCTATCACCTACCTCTGTCGAAGCCTTCCCGTTTATATACCCCCGCCAACCCGCCATCCCTTGATTCTTTCCCTCGAAACCAAAAATCAAACCTTTTTCTCTCTAATCTCAAGTTTTCTCTTCATTTTCTGAAAAAGATACAAACACAGCGACACTTTTTTCTTCAGATTTGTGCAACGAAATTCTCAGTTTTGTTAGTGGTAGATGAGAAACGATAAGGGTGGGACGATGATAATGGAGCAAAGAAGCAGCCGACCAAATCTGGGAACTCTCTTCAAACAATCTGAGCCTTCTTTGTTCTCTTTTAACAACAACTTCAATTTTGAAGACGAGCTCCCTCGTCGGAAAAGCAGTGCGTCTATGGCCAGTCCGAGGTATTCAAACAGCACGACGACGAGCGGCGAGGGTTCTCCTTACAATTACATCATGTCTCCATGGAACGAGGCTTCTCCCTACACTAAATCTCCATGGATTACCGCGTCGGTACTCGAGACAGATTTTGGCCAAAACGGGCTTATTGCGTCTATTTTAAGAGAAGAAGGTCATATTTACTCTTTAGCTGCATCTGGAGGTTTGCTGTATACGGGCTCCGATAGCAAGAACATCCGTGTGTGGAAGAACTTGAATGATTTCTCGGGTTTTAAAGCTAAAAGCGGTCTGGTTAAAGCCATTATCATTGTGGGTGATAGAGTGTTCACCGGTCATCAAGACGGTAAAATCCGAGTCTGGAAGGTTTCAACGACGAAGACGAACGGTGGTGTTCATAAAAGATTCGGCACTTTGCCGACATTCAAAGACGTCCTTAAAAGCTCGGTTAAACCTAAGAACTACGTTGAAGTTCGGAGAAACCGAAGTGTTCTCCGAATCAAACACTTCGATGCGGTTTCATGCTTGAGCTTGAATGAAGAACTCGGGCTGTTATATTCAGGGTCATGGGATAAAACTTTGAAAGTTTGGCGGCTGGCGAACTCGAAATGTTTGGAATCCATCGATGCTCACGACGATGCAATCAATTCCGTGGTTGCCGGATTCGATAGCCTGGTGTTCACGGGATCGGCGGACGGGACGGTGAAGGTGTGGAAAAGAGAGTTAGAAGGGAAAGGGACGAAACATTTCCTGGTTCAATTGTTGTTGAAGCAAGAGAACGCGGTGACTGCATTGGCCGTTAACCAAGAATCGGGTGTGGTCTACTGTGGTTCATCGGACGGTCTTGTCAACTTCTGGGAACGTGAAAAGCACCTTTCACATGGTGGGATCTTAAGGGGCCATAAAATGGCTGTCCTCTGCTTGGCCACGTCTGGGAATTTGGTGTTTAGCGGGTCAGCCGATAGGAGCATATGCGTGTGGAGACGAGAAGAAGGTTGTGTCCACAATTGCCTCTCGGTCTTATCCGGTCACACAGGTCCCGTAAAATGCCTTGCCGTCGAAGAAGACGATGGAACGTCCACTAAGACTGACCGTAAATGGATTGTTTACAGTGGCAGTCTGGATAAGTCCGTCAAGGTGTGGCGCGTGTCTGAACACGCATCAGACATGAAGGTGATTAAACAAGGTTTCCTTAACAGTTAAACGTCAAAGTCAAAAAGGTCAGACAAAACGAAGGAAGATTCCCACGCGCAGCCGCGGGGGCTTTGTTGATTAGTGGTCCGGTCCTTTCGTGAACCAATCCTTTCCCTTGAAGGCAACTTTTGGTTGGTGTGGACGGTGCCACGTGTAAAAAAGACTTTTTTTAAAAAAAACCAAGGCCAGCTCTGTAAGAAAAAAAAAGGGTATTTTAAAATTTCGAAAGTTTGTTGGATTATTTGATTTGTTCATTAGATGTCTTGATGTGTTTGTGTAACTTAATGTTGTATTAAAAGCAACATGCTTATCCTCCAAGAAATGTCTTTTAAGGGGAGTAGGGGTCCCCTCCCAGTTGAAAAATGAGAAAACTGTAACTTGTAACCCAAGGCTGACAAATTAATTGAGCAATCTGATTTTTTGCTTCTCTGTTTTCCATTTCTTGTTAGCTCCCATATCCGATTCCAGTTTCGTAGATATTATTTGTAAGGAGAAATAATCAAAAACTTTAAATATGGATTGTATAACTGATATACTATTTGATATGTTCGATTCGTTTATGTTTATAAATAAGTTCGTTCATAGGCTCATTTATTGATATATTTATAAGTATATTTATTAGGTTTTCCTTTTCTTTTTCATTTTTTTAGTCGATGAAAGTAGAGATTAAATCGAACATATGATAAATTTTGGAATTCAAACTGTGAAGCCTAAAGAACTTAAGAATTGGTGATGTAATTTTGCCATTTTTTATTGGCTTGCCAATGAAAAGATAAAAGAGAGCGTTGGTTGGAAACATTAAATGAATATATTTGTTAACATTAAACGAATATATTCGTGAATGTTAAATGAATCGAACACAAATACGATATTAAAATTTTAAATGAATACAAATAAAGCTTTTATGTTCGGGATTGATTCATTTACACTCGTAAGAAGAATGGAACGAAATGATCAAGTTCTTGTTCAAGGGCTAAAGCAATCAACAAGAACGGAAACAGACCATGTTTGATTCGACTGGCATGAGTCGGCAACAAACAAACGCTTGTATGGACCCATTTGAGCTTCTTTCTTGTGGTTGAACGACCTGGCCAGGCTCCAATCCACTGACGCTGGGGAAAATGGATCGTCCCTTTTCACGTAGCTTAGTGAGCTCAGTCCGCCATTTATCCACAAGCCCAGAGATTGGTAGGAATCTTCCTGAATCAACAAAAGGAAATAATCTCCTCGATTCGAGTAGTTATATTTACAGGATGTGTATTATCAATTAATTAAGAAATTTTTGAATAAATATTATCTTATAATTACTTGAAAATTTTAAAATAAATAATTTAATAAAAAAGATAAACTGATAATAAATTATGAGAATATAAACTCATGTGTTTCATTTCATAAAGCATTATTTCCCCACAAAATTATAGACATTTATTATTGTAATGTCATGGTGACCATTTTGTAACCGGTCAACACTTTTAATGATTATTTTTGTAATTCTTGAAAGCTTAATGATCAAAAAATCATTTCAATATAGTTTAGTGACCTTTTATGTACTTTACCCTATTATTTTCCCCACAATCTTATGTGAAAGGCCAAATAATGGTTTTGGAACCTTCATTGTGCTAAAATTTAATATTTAGTCCCTATGATTTGACATGATTTTCATTTTTAGTCTATCCCGATTTCTTGGTCTAATAATGATTTTCGTCCTTTTATTTTATGAAAAGTTGAGAAGTTAGTCCACTATGTAAAGTAAATGGTTGAACTTCATAATTAGACCTTTTATCATTGTCAACTGAATGCTGAATGCTTAAGGGGTTTTAAAAAACAATCCATTAATATTTATAAGGATCAAATCATGTCAAATTAAAATAAAAGGACTAAAAGTCAAATCTCTTAACAATTAAGACTTAGCCGTTGCTTTTCTTCCTCTATATATAGCTCAATGCCACAAATCTTTAATCCTCTCTCTTTTCGTTTCTGAATCTTCATTCAAAGCTCTCCATCTGTGTTGCTCTCTTTGAAAGTGAATATTGCAATAATGGGAATTTGTTCATCTTCTCAATACACTACAAAGGGAGACAGTTGCCTGATCTGGCCGCCACCCGCCGCCAAAATAATACACCAAAATGGAAAGCTCGAGGAGTTCAGGCAACCCGTCAAAGCAAGCGTTGTTCTCTCCCAGAATCCAAACTGTTTCCTCTGCAACTCCGAGCTCATGTACGTAAACTCACGCCTGCCTCACGTGAAGGAAGATTAACAACTTCAGCTGGATCAAACCTATTTTCTCACGTCACAGTCGAAGTCTGAAGCACCACTTTCCCTTCAAGAACTATGTTCACTCGCCATTAAAGCTAATACTGCCCTATCTCATGTGAATAAAGCTTATCTATTGCAGCTGGAACTTATCAAAGATGCTGTACACCTACCGTTAGATTTGACATTATCAAGGAGTTAATGTTATTTTTTTAAATTATTCAATTATTAATTATATATATATATATATATAAAGTTCAAGTACAAATAAAAGTATAATCACATTTGCAGAGCAAAGACAATGAAGCACAACATGTGACCAAGCAAAATCAAGCATTTTATTGGTGCTCAATCTATAAAAGATCAATTCTCATTAGACATGATAAGATGCTATAATTAGATCTGTATGGGGAAAAAACACTATGAAAGATCAATTCCTGTTAAGAACTTCAGCTGGCATGCTCAACCCAGAGAACATCATAACTCTACTTTTTAGGTCACTTCGTGATGGGTAATCACTGCCTTCCGAACTCCCAAAGCTGAGAGGTCGACCATGTTTGCCTGAATCGTAATGTGTCTTAAATAACCTTCGAAGTATATGTGCAAGTGCAAGTGCTAGGGAAAGTGCGTGCTCTGGTGTCCGAATACTAAAGCATGCACATACTATTAGTGCCACAATAAGATCCAACAGATTTCTCGGTAGTAGTACCGGCTTCACTGTTCCAGTAGACATAAAGCTCGGATGCTTTCTCAATGCCCTTAGATATGTACGGAGATATATTATGAGTCGTACATTGGAGAGATCCCAATAGTTCATTCTCAATGCATTCATACCTGCAAGCCATAATCTCATGCGCAGCACATGAAATTGAAAAATTATCTTAAACATCAATTACTACCTATATATTAGCTGTACTTACATTTTCTTGCAAAGGTTATCGGTGATGACAGAAAGATTAATCACTTGCAATATTATCTCCATAACTTTATCATCAGCATATTCATCAAAGGGCTCTTCCATAACTGATATACAACCCCCAAAAAATGTGGAGGGAAAAATTTAATTAACTATTTGATATGTTCGGTTCTTTATGTTTACAAATAAGTTCGTTCATAGGTTCATTTATTAATATATTTATAAGTATATTTATTAGGTTACCTTTGGTAGCGGTACCATATGAATAGTATCAGTATTGTTCATGAGGTATCGATACTGTAAGAATAATATCGATACTGCTTGTCCAGAAAATTATTTTGTGCTCAATTCTAAGTTAAATGGACTTTGAATTATTTTTGAAAACTTTGAATAAATTCAATTCAAGTCCAAAAATATTTTGCCTTAATTATTATATCAAAATATAGTTCAACAAAAATTATCTTTTATTTTTGTTTTGACTTATTAAATATATTTTATTTTTATTTTTATTTTTATCTAAAAATATATATTGCTTGAATTTTCTGAGGATCAACTCGGATTGCATCTACTGCCATGACATGCCCTAGAAATGAAACCTCAATTAACTAGAACTCGCACTTTCCAAACTTGCCAAACAGTTGTCGGTCTCTAAGGGTCTAAAGAACTATGTGAAGGTGTTGGTCGTGCTTGTAACATCCTCCATGCCGGGTTAGTGATTAATTTGCAAAGTTTTAACATTTGGTGATTTAAGTAAAATGATGGAAGAGTTTAATGATCTATTTGGGTTATTGGGTGTAGGATTGAATCATAAAGAAGGAGAATTAAGAGGGCAAAAGAGTAATTGAGTAAATGAAATAATTAAATATTCCTTAGGGTGATATTATAAATCACGTGGGCATTTGAGATAAGCCTTCCAGACTTTTCTCTTCTTCTCTTCCTTCTCCAACCGCGTGAAGCTTGCAAGTAAAGGTGAGAATCTAAACCTTGGTAGTTTCTTTGATTTTTAAGATTGGAAATGAAAGTTTGGATGTTATATAAGCTAAAGGAAAGCTTATATGACATTAAAACTACAAGATAAGTGTTTTAGAGATAGATTTGGAAAATGCGTTTTTAGATGAAATTTTGATATGGATGAGTTTTTGATGTTTGAATAAGATTTTTGACTTGTCAATAAGCTAATTAAGAAGTATGAAGTAATAGAATTGAAATTAGAACAAGTTGGAATTGGAGTAAGATTCTTCAATTCTATATGGATGAGTAGTTTTCTTAGTTTTAGAGGTATTGAATGGATAATAATTAGTTTAAGTAAGTGTATGAGAGCTAAGAGTATTAAAGGGATTGAAATATGTATGTTTGAGCTGAAATGAGATGATTTCCGGGCTCAAAATAGGATTTCTGGGTTAGGGGAATCGGTACCCATTCAAGGGGAACCGATACCCCCTCAACGAATATGAATTTCCAGAATGCTAGAGGGGAATCGATACCCCCAGGGGGGGAACCGATTCCCCCATGAGAAAAAAAAAGAGAAAGAAAAGAAAGAAAGACTAAGCTATAAATTCCTTAAATTAGTAAGCTATTAAAGCTTAATTTCAAGACATAGACATCTGATGATCATCTTGAAAATTATGTTTATGTAGATACCGAGCCTACTCGAGTTCGGGAACAATCTACAAGTAGGATCGATCGAGGAAAAGGCAAAGAAGTATAGGTGAGTGCATATGCATAGCATGATTATAGAAATATCCTGCATTCTAGACTTGTGATAAGTCTAGATTTTATATCTTGATACATGAGCATATTATGTATTATGAGACATGACATGAGTTCATATAAAATGCATTATATGACATGAATATGTGGGAAAAATTATGAGCTATGTGAAAAGGTAAGAAATTACATGTCTACGCGATATAGACTACGTGAAATGTAAAAGCCCATGTTATGTAGATGAGAACTATAGGTATAGTTGGCATGCCAAGGATAGAGGGTCTACGCGGTTCTTTGGGACATATGTATATTCTTTGGAACATGTGTGAAGTCTTGAAAGACACATACTTGATCCCTAGTATATGTATATGATTCTTAAGGAATTCTATGTGGTCCTTATAGACATTATTATATGGCACTACGGTGCAATTCTACGCGGTTCTTTGGGACATATGTATATTCTTTGGAACATGTGTGAAGTCTTGAAAGACACATACTTGATCCATAGTATATGTATATGATTCTTAAGGAATTCTATGTGGTCCTTATGGACATCATTATATGGCACTACGGTGCAATTCTACGGGGCACTTCGGTGCATTTATATGAGTTGTGGTGACAGCATAGTGCACAACCTCACATTACTCCGATACCTTAGGTTCTCAATATGCTATCATGGGCCAATAAACTTATTAATACAGATTCATGAATGTTACAGTCATACGCTTACAGGTATGGATATTGATGATGTATACTACATTGATTAAGTACATGTTTGTATCTCATCTCATATTATCATGACATTTTCATTACATTACATTGCCTTATTATTATTATTGCCTCACTAAGTCGATGACTTAGCGTGTGAGTGTTTCACACGTAGGATCCGAGAACATAGACGAGACAGGTGAAGCAGCTTGATAGCATTACTCCTGCAACCACCAGATCAGAAGCAACTTAATCAGTAGGTCATTTTGTTATGTAAATGGCAGTTGGCATGTAATTAAAGGGTTAAGTTGTGTATGCTCTGAATATTTTGATAAACTTATATTACAATATGTATATTATCGTATTTTCTTAATATAAGCCGAAATATTTTGCTATTTTTTGTTAAGAGTTGTGTTCCAAAGTCAATGTAGTATCTCTGACTCATATCCGGGTCGGGTATGGGTTGGGGGTGTTACATTTAATGGTATCAGAGCTATGGTTTAGTCGATTCTAGGCATAAACCAGAGTCTATAGAGTCTTTAAATGGAATACATGCCAACAAATAGTGAGAACTTCTGATCTGGTATAGTATGAGTATGTTGTTTTGCTAATAGAACAATGTGTTTATTCTTATTAGATGTCCGGACATAATAGCTCCCGAAGTGAAGCGGGAGAAGATAGGCATGCTGAAAGCAGTAATTCACCTGCCCTGGCTAGGCAGGGTGAAGAACAGGCATCTCAAGGAGTGCCTGTGCAAGATCAAGATACGTTCTTCAGAACGTTAGACGCTATTCTGACGCGTCTTCAACCTCCTGCTCCACTAACTCTAAGAATTAATGTAGCAAAAGAGTTGAGAGGTTTAGGAGCTCCCGAATTTAAGGGAGAAGCTGAGGAAGGTCCAGTGTCAGCGGATCTTTGGTTGAATGATTTGAAAATCATGTTAGATGGTCTCCACTGTTCCGAAGTGGAGAAATTAGATGGAGCTGTGTCTTTATTGAGGGGTCAGGCGAGGATATGGTGGACGAACGTCACCATGAGGATGTCAACCGACCAGTTGACTTGGTCTTTGTTTTTAGAAGAATTTAAAAACAAGTATATTGGAGATCAATTTATCCGACAAATGAAGCAAGAGTTTATGAATTTGAAGCAGATGAGCCGCTCCGTATATGAGTACGAATGTGAGTTTAATAAGCTGAGCAGGTTTGCAGCTGAGCTTGTGCCTACTGAAAAAGATGCTTGCGAATGGTTCGTGGAGGGCTTGCGCCCTAGACTTAAAGAAATGTTGATAGTATTAAACTTGTCCTCGTTCCATGAGGTGATCAATCGTGCAAAAGCTCTTGAAAGGGCTCAGAATGAACGATTTGGGGACTCAAGAGTTCAGACATCAAAGAGGACGACTACTTCTTCTAGCTCAGTACCAACAAAAAGGGGAAGAGACTCGGGATTTTGATCACAAACTAGATCAGAATCAGTTGCATCGTCTGCTAGGGGAGCAAGTCAGGCGAGACCTAGACAGACGCAGTCAGTGGAATCTGGTGCTGGGAGATCTACTCCGGGTCAAGGGAGACAGTGTCAGCATTGTGGGAAAAACCCATTATGGAGCTTGTCGTATGGCAGCTGGGACTTGTTTTCGATGCGGAGATGCCGGACATTTTGTCCGGGATTGTCCATTGATTGTTGGTGAGCCGGCACCATCTGGAAGAGCTGGTTCTTCCTCACAAAGAGGACGAGGAAGAGGCAGAGGAAGGAACCCGTCTGAATTCTCTGCTCAACCTGAAGTTCGATCCACTGCTCGAGTATACAACCTAAAGACAAGTGAAGACCGTGATGACCCTGATATTATAGCAGGTACTTTTCAGTTGTATGATAAATTAGTATTGGTACTGATTGATCCGGGTTCTAATTATTCTTATATTACAAGTAAGTTAGTAAAGGAGTTGGGGATTCCCTTAGAAGCTACGAGTAATGAGATTATAGTAACAACTCCGTTAGGCCATAGTGCCCGGGTGAATAAAGTCTGTAAGGGGTGTACCATAAAGGTTCAGGGAATTGAATTCCCTGCTAATCTGATGGAATTACCCTTTGACGAGTTTGAAGTGATTCTGGGAATGGATTGGTTGTTCCGTTATTATGGAGATGTTAGTTGCAGATTGAAAAATGTAACTCTGAAAAGTCCAGAAGGAACAGAGATAAGTGTGAGCAGTGAAAAGTTTAATCCTTTAGCAAATGTAATATCAGTGATGTCTGCCAAGAAATTATTGCTACAAGGATGTCAGGGTTTTCTTGCAAATGTGATTGATTCAAGAGTTCAAGAGAAAAGATTAGAGGAAATTCCAATAGTTCGAGAGTTCCCTGATGTTTTTCCTGCTGAATTGCCAGGATTACCTCCGGATAGAGAGGTAGAATTTCAAATTGAAATAATGCCGGGAACAGCTCCGATTGCAATGGCACCTTATCGAATGGCTCCGAAAGAATTGCAAGAGTTAAAGAATCAATTACAAGAGTTGCTAGAGAAGGGATTTATCCGACCAAGTGTATCGCCTTGGGGAGCTCCGGTGTTATTTGTTAAAAAGAAGGATGGATCAATGCGTCTTTGCATTGACTATCGACAGCTCAATAAGGTGACCATCAAGAACAAGTATCCCCTTCCGCGCATTGATGACTTGTTTGATCAACTAAAAGGAGC